ATAATGTATACTGCATTGAAACAGATGAAGGAGAAAACTGTTTAAAAGAGATATGTGATTAGGTATTTTTGTCATGACAGGAGTCTAGAGCGAAGGCTACATGGTGGAGTGAACCTGGGGGGAGGGATTGTAAAACAATGAAAGAATTTTTCTTTTACTTTTCCAAGAGGGTGGTGTACTAGGGGGGAGGGTTGGGAGGCAAGAAATGTGCAACAATGAATGAATGGAAATCCAAAGTCTCTGTATATTTTCATTGAAATTAATAATAAAAAATTTTAAAAAGAAATTCCAATGGATATATTAGATCTTAAATAGGTCTTAAATAAAAAATTTGGAGCATGGGAAGCCTTCTAAGTAAAGGTGAAGACATGATATTGTAGACAACAACAACAAAAATGTGCATAAACACTTCGCAAAGTTTTAAGGTGAAACTGTGTTTTATGTTTAAAGAACTGAAAGATGATCTGGGAGGTTAAAATTTTAAGCAAGAAGACAACTAATTAAGTCTTGTCATATTTCTTTAAAAGTCCTCACAATTCCACTCCACTAATTCTCATTCTCTATTCTCTGCTCTCATCAACGTTTGCCTTAGATTTGATAACAACCACTTCTTTCCTTTTCCCCTGGCTACTCATGCACACTCAACAAAAACAAGTGTAAAGAGGGATTTTCTTTATTTCTTTGTAAAATATTTAATGTTTATTAGTATTGTAGACATTGTAACAAGTTAATTTAATAAAATGATAATTATTGCCTGGGACTGATTGTTAAAAAAAATCAGTGAGATTTGTAAACTTTCACTCAAATAAAATAGACTTTGAAAACAAACAAACAAACTAGTCTTTAATGAGGAAAACAGGTTGATGTTGACTAATTCATCAAGTGGTAACATCAAGAATAGTTTTATGTTTTCTTCCCATTTTCTTCAACATTTATTAAAGTATTAAACTGGATTTTTAGTGTCCTACAGGAAACTCCTCTGCTTTCAATTCAAGCTCTGAAGGCAGACTATTTTCCATCTTTGGGTCCTTAGCATGTCCCTTCTGTCTGAGCTAAGTCAACCTCACTGTTCCCTGAGCCTGATTTCTAGTTGTGCTTAAGCTTAGAACCTGACCTCTTTGAAGCCATCTCAGAACCATCTAGCACATATATCAACATCTCTTTTCTGAGTATCTCAAGTCCTTCTAGCATTTAATGATGTTTACTGAATGTTATGTAACTTCCTTTGTGCACTGAGTTTATCTAGTTTTCAAAGTCTCAGAGAAGAGAAATGCCCTTCTATGCAATCTTAACACAACTACTAGTGTCATTTAATGTGCTTGGCTGCTAATAAAAAAGCAGGCGGTTGAAGTCCAAACACACCTCTGATCAAAGGCCTACAGAAGAACTTCTGGGAAAATGGCTATTGAAAGCTTTACAGGTGCAGTTCTACTTTACCATAACAAGAAAATCATGAGTTAGAAGTGACTCAATGGGAATGAACTTGGTTATGGTTTTAGTCAATTGTAATGACTGATAAATTGGTTAACGATTATTATTAAATAATGACATATTCTATCTGAATTCTTTTTATGAACACAAAGTTCAAAAGTTGATCTGATTCTTTCTTTTTTAATCTTGTCAAATATAAGTTCATTTACCCAAATCGTTATAAGGACTGAGAATAATATGTTCCTTTCATACTTAATGAACTATGAACGTGCAGATGTTCAAAGCTTTCCTAAGGCCAGCAGAAGAAGGTCCCTGAAAGGACTGAGAACACGGTGCTGGAACCAGATCCTGGGGGGAAGAACCATACAGAGCACAGTATAGTGCAGAAGCACACTGTAGAGCACTGGCTGCTGTGAAGCTGACCACCTGCTTTCCCCCTGGACAGTTATCCAGGGTCAAAATCAGGCAAATATCACTTACATAAGTTCTAATCTCAGTGGCTTTAAAACGAAACCTGAGAAATGGAGTAATAATTCCTAGGAAAAAATAATGGAATAAAACCACAAAGAAGCACATAGGTTGGAATGTGCTCCCTCTTCATGTAGACTCCCAATTAACTTGACATGAAGGTCTTATTTAGAGAAGAACTCAGAGTAGAAGGCAGGCTTCCTTTCCACCTTATTTCAGACATTATGCAAAAAGAAGACCAAAATGGATGTCAGAAGAAACTCTGAATATTGCACTGGAGCGCAGAGAAGCCAAAGCACAAGGAAGAATTCAAGATACTAAAGAGCTGAATAGAAGATCCCCAAAGGCAGCACGGGATGACAAAGTAAAATATTACAATGTAATGTGCAAGGATCTGGAGTCAGAAAATCAAAAGCGCTGAACTTGTTCAGCATTTCTTAAGCTCAAGGAACTGAAAAACAAATTCAAACCTTGAGTTGCTATAATCGGGGATGCTTTAGGTAGAATAGTAAATGATCCAGGAAGTATTGAAAGAAGATGGAAAGAATATACTGAGTCACTGTATCAAAAGAAATTGGCAGACACAGAAGAATTTCATGAAACAATATATGTGCAAGAGTCTATGGTGATGAAGGAAGAAGTTCAAGCTGCTTTGAAGGAAATAGCAAAAAATAAGGCCCCAGGAATAGATGGTATACCAATTGACGTATTTCAGCTAACAGATGCTGCCCTGGATGTGCTCACCAAGTTGTGCCAAGAAATCTGGTGAACAACCACTTGTCCAACTGATTGGAAGAGATGTATATTTGTTCCCATCCCAAGATGGGTGACCCAACAGAGTGTGGAAACTAAAGAACAATATCCTTGATTTCACATGCAAGCAAGATTCTACTGAAGATTATCCAAAAACAACTGGAGCAGAACATCAGCAGAGAACTGCCAGAAGGCTAGGCTGGGTTTAGAAGGGGTCGTGGTACTAGGAATATTGTAGCTGATGTTAGTTAGATGGATCTTAGCTGAAAGCAAGGAATACCAGACGAATGTCTATCTGTGTTTCATTGACTATTCAAAGGCATTTGACTGTGTAGACCATAACAAACTGTGGCTGACTCTGAGAAGAATGGGAATACCAGAACACCTGATCGGGCTAATGAGAAACTTATACTTGGACCAAGAGGCAGTGGTCAGAACAGAGCAAAGAAACACTGCATGGTTCAAAATTGGCAAGGGTGTACGCCAGGGATGTGTCCTGTCTCCATACATTTTAAACCTGTATGCAGAACAGATTATCCGGGAGGCTGGGCTCTATGAGGAGAAGTGTGGTATCAGGATTGGTGGAAGATCTATCAACAATCTGCGTTAGGCAGATAACACAATTCTGCTTGCTGAAACTGAAGAGGCTCTGAAATGATTGCTACAGAGAGGGTCAAGGACTGCAGCCTTCAATATGGATTGAGGCTCAATATCAAGAACACAAAGATTGTCACCACTGGACCAATTGGCAGCATAAGGATGGATGGTGAAGAAATTGAGATTGTTAACAACTTTAGTCGGCTTGGCTCCACAGTCAACACTCTTGGCACCAGCAGCCAGGAAATTAAAAGACCTACTGCCATGGGAAAGTCTGCTGTTAGGGACCTCTCCAAAGTACTGAAGAGCAATGGTGTCACTGGAGACTAAGGTGCATCTAATACAGACCATGGTCTTTGCAATCACTTGTTATGCATCAGAGAGTTGGGCAATGACTAGGGACGATAGAAAGAGAATTGATGCCTTTGAGCTGTGGTGCTGGAGAAGAGTATTGAATGTACCATGGACTGTCACAAAACCAAACAGATTCATCCTGGAGAGGGTTAAACCGGGATGCTTCTTGGAGGCAAGAATTCTGGAGCTTCGTCTGACATACTTTGAACATGCCGTGAGGAGGGACCGGTCCTTGGAGAGGGACACAATGCTTTGGAGGGTGGAAGGATGGCGTTGGCGAGGAAGGCCTTCTATGAGGTGGATTGATTCAGTGACTGGGGTAATTTGGATGGGTGTGTCGGAGGCAGTGCAGTTGGCACAGGATAGAGCAGGGTTTACATTTGTTGTACATAGGGTCACTATGAGTCGCAAGCAACTCAATGGCACATAACAACAACAACAACAACATGCAACTAATACTTAGAATATTATTATTGTTGTGTTAGATGTCACTGAGTTGGAACTGACTCATAATTGACCCTCCAATGGGTTTTCAGAAGCTGTAAATAGCACAGAAAGAGATTGTCCATCTTTCTCCAGCAGAGCATCTGGTGGATTCAAACTGTTCTCTATTAGAGTATTAGTGGTTTCTTATATGACAAAAGCTTTGAATGACTGGAATCTTTAGAAAAATACTGACAGTTGCAACAAATTTACATGATACAAAGAAGTTATACAGTTGAATTTCTCTCATGCCAATTGTTCGTCAGAAATTTCTGATAAATAATAGAAGAGCTCTGACTGAAGTGGCAGATGAATGCAAGAAAATCTTGATATTTTAAAAACAGAAGGAAAAAATATAATTAAAGTATTTACCTAAAGAAATGTTGGGAAATTAACTCTAGTGGCTTAGTGGTAAGAAGCTGTGCTGTGATCCCGAAAGCACATGGTTCAAATTCACCAGCTGCTCCACAGGAGAAAGATAAACAATCTCCTCCTGTGCAATTAACTGCCTCTAAAAACCCACCAGAAAGTTAGCTATGAATGAGTTCCAACACAATAGTACATAACAACAACAACCATGGAATTGTCAGGAAATAAGCCAGATAATATATATAAAATTCTTAAAATGTAAGATAAGCCTTCAATAAATGTTAATTAGATAGACAAACAAATATATAGTAAAAGAGAGAAGTCAAGTAAAATCACCAATCCTTGCATCCCAGAGTAAAAAGCCTTTCAACCCCATGTTCTGGGAGAATAATTAAAAAAAAAATCAAACAAACTTCTATAACATAAAAAAGGCAAGTTGTCCATGTGAAATGGAGGCTTAACTGGTATCTCTCAAATCACCCAGTATCTACTGTGTTAAGGACTGTGTCTGCATGCAACCCTTCAGTTCCCTGGTTTCCACTTACAACTTTAGGAGCATAAGTGCCAAATCCAAGGATTGGCATGTAATGTCCATAATTCAGTTTCACAGAATGTTTATGCTTGAGATCCATCACTGTCCTGGTCTTGGCTAACCTGACTGTAGCCTTCCGTTTGTCTTTTTAACTGCCACCCAGCCTTAGGTGAGGAGTAAGTGGAAGCCCAAGCTTTGATTCTATTTAAACCAAACACAACAAGGTAGGCAGGGCTGAGATTACAGTTCCCACAATGAAAGCAGGATCAATCCTTTGACTTCTTTCAAATCACTGCAGGGACTCCTTACAGGTATGTTGTTGTTGTTGATTGCCATCGAGTTGAGTATAATGACTCATAACAACTCTATGAACAAAAGACCTAATGTTATTAGGAAAAACTTTCTAGAAGAGTTTAGGTTTTCTCTTCAACTTAGTCCACTCCTGATACAATGTTAACAACAGCAACAAAAACATATCAATTTGTCCTGATAATTAGAACAAACTCACAAAATTCAAATTAGGTTGGTCATTTCTAAATATGGGAGTTTAGCTAAATTCCCTCATCACAAATCCCCCCCACACACACACACACACAAAATAGCTACTCAAAGTTTCTTAAATAAGGTTTAATTCCTTGTCCAGGGACTTAGGACTCAAAAATTTGTTGCCATCTGTAAGGTAAAAATGGCACAGAGAACCAGGTGAAGTGAAACAAAAGAGTTTATTAGTGGCTCTCAGGCAGATTTATTGTCTGAGGCCAGAGAAAGGCCGGGTCAGGCAGCAAAGTTGCAAGTGAGGCAATTACTGGCTAAACTTTATAGGTAGGGATTTGGGGGTAGGGTGGTCAGTTCCGTGGTCAGTTTTCCATGGAGAGAGTTGATTGGATGCCCTTTGTTAGTTCTTAATTACCAAGTTGCTCAGTCTTGCAAGATGTGGTTGGTGATGGTGCTTCTTTCTGATTGGTCATAATCCTCTTATACCAGATAGATTGGAATGTCTCTCAGAAGGTGGTCAGTGTGGAATGTTGCCAAGCCCCCAGGTGGCTTTTCACCATCAAGTCTGAACCAATTCTTGACTGACTCTCCAGTGAGTTTTTAGAAGCTGTAGATCACATGGGAAGAAATTGCCCATAAAATTCCTTGGGAACCTCACACTTCTGATTCTATTGTCTTTTTCTTTTTTTTTTTTTCTATTTCACCTGCCAATTTTGTGCTTTCTTGTTTCCTTGAAACAGTTTGGCATTTTCTCGAAATTCTGAACTCAGGAATAAATTTCCGCATTTATAACTGCATTCTAAGTTATTGGTTCTTTTTTAGGATAGCCTGCTTTCCTAGCCCTTCATTGCTCCAGCTTTATGAAATCTTATTTATTCTCAAAGCACATCTTTTTTCCCCCTTGTTTTCTAGTTTATACTGCTTTACTTACAAAAACAGTCTCACATCTTTTATGATGCCTTCAATGTCCTTGCCAGATACAGTTACTTGTGTACTGTCACATAATTGTACCCAACCACAGTCAAATCAGAAATGATTCATGACAATTCTCCCATAAGTTTCCAAGGTTGATAGATCTTTTTACAAGAGAGTACTCATCTTTCTTTCTTCCAAGGACTAGTGGTACATTCAAATTAACAGTCTTTTAGGTAAGAGCCCAGTGTATGACTCTACATCACTAGAGCGCCTTTCACATAATTATGTTGTTGTTGTTGTTGTTAAGTGCCATCAAGTCTCCTGCGACTCATAGTAACCCTATATACACTAGCTCTAAAGCCTGCCCTGTCTTGAGCCAGTCTCACTGACTCACATACACCAACCCCTATTAGCCCAGTTACTGTATCAATTCATCTCATCTGGGGTTTTCCTCTCCTGCACTGTCCTTCCACCTTTCCCAGCATGATACCCTTCTCCACAGATTGATCCCTCCCTGCCAAATGCCCAAAGTATGTGAGATGGAGCTTCAAAATCCTAGCCTCCAAGGAAAAATGTGGTACTACTCAGAAAAACTCTTATTAGTGAAATTATATTCTACCCTAAAGAGAAATATCTGCAACAGGATCTTCTATGTGGTTTTATGATGTAAATTTTTTAATGAGACTTTTGAATAGTGGCACTGGTAAGGGTTATTGAATATACTTTTAAAGTATATACCATATACTACATAAACTACAACACGTGTGTTTTGGAAGAAATGTAGCCAGAGTTCTCTTTAGACACAAAGATAGTGAGACTTTGGCTTACATGCTTGGAACAAGGAAGCAGGAGGAGCCTGTCCCTGGGGGGAAAAATCACTCTTAAAGAAGTGGACAGTCAGCAAAAAAAGTATGTTTCAAAAATTAGTAAGAATTACATTGTAAGTATGTTGCAGAATTAGTTAGGGTTTAATTCTGTTGCTCACACTATGTGTCACTATCCATTTGAGGGCACTAACAACATTATGCCAGCTTCCTCCACTCAGCTATGTACAATTAGTACTTTGGAGCCAGTCTCAGGATAGACATAACATTAGCCTAGTTTATTTTGTTTTTCAGGCCTTCAATTGGCCAGTCAAGGCCAGAACCCTGTCAATATGATACAAATATTCATAATAGTCTTTGTAATATTTTACATTAAAGATTCTGGTGAATTGCCATAGAGAATGATATCGCTAGACAAGCAAGAGTTGGCAAGATAGGAGAAAGAGTAGAGAATACCTTGGGGAGTTTTGTGAGTGGGTGAGGGTTTGGCATCTAGTGCATGAGTAAAGGGGTAATCTTAGATAGGATAGCATTGATAGTATCATGAGTGGCAGGCAATCTATGCAAACAAATGCAGCTGGTGAAGGAGAGGTACACAATTATATGTCTAAGTGAAGTAAGAAGCAAGCTCATCCATTGAAAATGAAGGTGTTAGGGAAGTTGTTGGAAGTTAATATTTTTGTTGTTGTTGTTATTATATGCTGTTAAGTCGCCTGTGACTCATTGCAACCCTATCTAAAGCCTGCTCTATCCTGTGCCAATCTCATTGTCTCTGACAAACCTACCCCCATTACCCCAGTCACTGAATCAATCCATCTCATCGAGGGGTCTTCCTCTCCTACACTGGTCCTCCACCCTCCCAAGCATGACGTCCCTCTCCAAGGATTGGTCCCTCCTTGCAACATGACCAAAGTATGTCAGGCGAAGCCCCAGAATCCTTGCCTCCAAGGAGCAGCTTGGTTTCACCCTCTCTAGCACAAACCTGTTTGTTCTCTTAGCAGTCCATGGTATATTCAAAACTCTTTTCCAACACCACAACTCAAAGACATTCTCTTTCTATTATCCCTAGTCATTGTCCATCTCTTTGATACATAGCAAGTGATTGCAAAGACCCTGGCCTATATCGGGTGCACCTTAGTCTCCAGACTGATATCATTGCTCTTCAGTATTTCGGAGTTTATTTTGTCATCTAAGAAAGCAGATGAGTGTTCTAGGAAAATGCAGTATGACTGCAGGACAGCATTACTGCCCCATTTGAGGTTTGTGAACATGAGATGGAAAGGAGACTAGTCTGTGGGATTATGTGCTTTTCTCCAATAATTTTTTTATATGTATCGTTCAGTTCCTTAGAGGAGAGTTGAACTGAATAGAATTAGAAAGACCAGCTTTCCAAATTTAGTAAAAGGTAAATAAAATAAAGAAGTATGCAAAGAAATAATAATAGTGATGTGTCAAGAAATGTGAGCTCCAAGAGTATTCAAGGGAATTATGAAGTAAAGGAATATCAGAAAACTTATAACATTGAATGTGTTAACAGCTTGTCAATAATTTGTGTCACTATTACTGTTACTATTGTGTTTAGGTGCTCTTAAGTCGAATATGACTCATAGAGACCGTATGAATAATAGATCTGAATCCTGTCCTATCCTGTACCAACCTCATCATCTCGGAAACTCTTGAACTCGTTGCTGCAGCTATCATGTCAATTCACCTTACTGGTGGTCTTCTTCTCTTTGACTTATCCTCCACCTTTCCAAGGAATATCCTTTCCTAGCAAAATGACCAAAGTATGGAGACAAAGTTTTGCCATCCTTGCTGAAAGGAGCACTCTGCCTGTACCTTTTCCAAGACATATCTGTTTGTTCTTTTGTCAATCCATTCAGTATTCTTCTCCAACACCACAACTCAAAGTCTCAACTATTCTACTGCCATTCTTTTTCATTGTCCAGTTCTAAGATGTATAGCAAGTACTTGAAAAGACCATAGTTTGAATCAGGACATCTTAGTCATCAAACTGACATAATTTCTCTTCAGTGTTTTGGAGAGATCACTTTGGACAGTGGACTTTCCCAAAGTAATGCATCCCTGATTTCCTGACTTTTGGTAAAAGGGTGTTGATTGTGGATCCAAAATGAAATCATTGACAGTTTAAATTTTTTCACCATCTAAGGAACAGATCTGAACCCTATCCAATCCTGCGTTCTTTATCACCTTTGATATATTTGAACCTATTGCTGCCATCACTGTCTCAATTAATCTCATTAAGGGTCTTCTTCTCTAAACTGTTTAAAAGAGATATATAACTAGGTATTTCTGTCATCACAGGAGACTAAAGCGAGGGCTACATGGTGGAGGGGACCTGGGGGAGGGTTTGTAAAACAATGAAAGAATCTTTTCTTTTACTTTTCCATAATTTATGTACTTATAACTTGTTAGTCAAATTTGTGTCTTCTAGGTTGCAACACCCCCATGATACATCTTCAAGGATATGAACATGTACGGCCAAGCCCAATCAATAAGAGTGCATCTAAATTCCAAAATCAATCTCCATAATAGTCTATGTGTTTCCTACTGCCAAAGGGGCCCTTTAGAGTAGTGAGAGAAGATCTTCACCCTGAAACCCACAGCGTCCCTTTTCAGCAGGAAGTAGCTAAGAGAATACGCCATCCCCTTTTCCTTATGACTCAGGGTGAAGTCTCTCTCAGGGAGGAGTGATAGGGAATGGCAAAGGACACACTGACAAAGAAGATTAATCAGAACTGGCTTTGACAAGCACTGCGGCATTTGGACAAGAACAAACTGGGAGGAGGGTAGAGAGAATAGTGCAACAATGAATGAATGGAAACCCAAAATCTCTGTAAATGTT